AGTCCAATGTTTATCCTACAGAGTCACATCAGGACTCTACAGTCGATAACAGTACGGAAAATACCGAATTCAACAGCATTGACATATTTCTGCTGGCTGTGATTACAGACTCTTATGTTTACGATGTCGCTACACATCACTTACTATTTTTTTAAAATATTTTATTGTAAATTATGTGATAGTTTACATGGGAGAACATTAGTTTTACATTCATCCTACTGTATATTGTTTCATTGCCATGGTTACAATACCCTCCATGCGTCATCAACCAACTAAAGGGTACACCCTACAAGCCTGCCCCCCGTTTGTCAGCACACAGCCCCTCTCCCTCTCTGTACATCACTTACTTTTATTTTTAGCAAACGGTTAAGAAACAAATTCTGTTAATGCCTTCATCTTACAATTGAGAAGATGGAGGTTCAGAAGGTTCAATACATTTTCTAAAGTCACTCGGTTAGTAAGAAGGGACACTGGATTCAAACCCAGGAAGATGGAACAGAGAGTAAGGTCTCTTCACCTGTGTGCTTGTGCCCTTGCCTTGAGTTGATGCCTGTGAGAATGGTAAAATACGACATAACTTAGGAGGCCAATTTCTTTAAACAAATATCCCAAAGTAAGCATACACATCAGAGGCCAGAATTGTTAGATAGCAGTGGCTTCAGAGTCCTGGTGTGGTGCTGTAAGATAATGCATTGGACTGCAAGGTTGACGACTCAAAATCTATACAGGGTCACTATGAGTTGGAACTAACTCAGTGGCACTTAACAATACCAGTGGATTCACTCCGTATGTTGTCTGTGAACACACTCTGTTCTGATAGCTTCAAGTCTATGGTTGGCTGATGATTATCTACTGTCATGTCAGTTCCAACTCACAGCAACCTTATATGAGTGTCTGAGGCTGTAAATCTTTGCAGGAGTAGAAACCTCATCTTTCTCTTGCGGAGCATCTGAGAGAATCAAACTGCTTATCTTGTGATTAGGAACCCAACTCGTAATCCACCACAAATCAGTCCAAGAGAATTTACTTAATAATTTTGAAAGGCCAAAGAGTTTTATGCTCTCATTAAAATAGAGAAGTGAAATGTAAGATATGTCAAGCAGGAAGAATTTAATATTGTTTTTCTCAGTGAACTATTCCTCTTACCTTGATATGTTTTCTTGCTGTATTTTAACCCACTGCAGGACGAAGAGGAGCTGCTCAGTGGTAAAGACGCTGAGGAATTCCTGGTGGGTTTAGATCAGACGGCTGCAGATTTTGTGGATGTGAGACCTGCCGATTATGAAAGTGTGCATGTCCGGATGCAGAGGGAAAAAGAGATCCTGTTCATTCCCAGTCGGTTCACAGGTAAGTTGTTCATTTCAATTATCTGTGCCCGAAAGGGAAAACCACTCAGACCTTAAATAAAATTTTAGAGGATTTCTTCAGCATTAAAAAGACATCTGGCTGGAAAATAACTAACCGTTCCATAGAAGAAAGATTAGGCAGTGGGCTTCAGTAAAGATTTCAGCATCAGAAATGTTGTGAAGCAATTCTACTTTGTCTTGTGGAGTCATTATTAGTAGGTTGGTGGGCTTATCCTATAAATATATGATTCAATAACATATTGTATAAGTACAAACATTCATGTTTTCCTTCTAAAAATTCGTTATGAAAGATAGCGTTTTCAAGAACATAAATATCTTTGATGGTGGTTTGTAATTCATCAAATCCCAGTTGGAAAAGTGTAGGTTGGACACTGATATTTCCTTTATGTTTTTGTGAATCATCTAGTTCCCACCTATAAAAAACTACCTGAGAATGTGCAGCCCCGATTCCCAGAAGATGAAGGCCTTTACATCGGGGAGAGACCAGAGGTGTCCCGCACCAACCAGAATATTGTGGAGAACAGATTGCTGACACAAGAGCCCGTAAGTGCAAGGACTCCCAAATGTGACCCACATGCCAGGTTTATAAGTTCTATTCTTGATGGAAGGTGCCCTGGTAGTTGATTACAAGACGCACTGTTAGCCACAGGGTCAGCAGTTTGAATCTACTAGCTGCACCACTGGAGAAAAATGGGTCTTACTGCTCCAGAATGATTTACAGCCTGAGAAACTCTATACAGGGTCACTTTGAGTAGGAACCAATTTGATGGTACACAACCACCACCTTCCTAATGGGGTACTCTACCCCCTTTTCCCTTTTCCGCTTGAGAATGTCTACAGAAATTGGGTGTGTTTTTTTTTCTTACTGGCATTTATCAACATATATATTGATCCACAAAAACCACTTACTGCCAACTAAGATGATGCTTGTCTTCCTGCATCAAACACTGGTAATATTTCACCAATGTACAGACATTTGTTCTAGTGTGGCGCTGTGGGTTAATGCGCCAGACTGCAAAGCCGGTTGAACTGCAAGCTCGGCAGTTCAAGCTCACCAGCTGCTCCTTGGAAACCCTATACAGGGTTGCTATGGGTCGGAACCAACTCGACGGCACTTCACTTCAAAACGTTCATTATCACAACTTCAAAAACGTTCATTATCTTTTCATTCCATTTTTCCATGAAACTTTTTGATGTTACATCACGTTCTGTTCCCCATTGCAAATTGTTCTCTCTTTTTCCCTTTGTTCTTTAGTGAATAAGAATTAGCTCTTTCTTGAGTAGTCATTTAAACTTGTTTTTTAAACTTTTTTGTTTTGTTTTGAGGAGAAACTAAATCTTAAATTAATTGTGAGGCATGTCAATGAAGTCTCCAAAACAGAGTTTGCAAGTTTTATCAGGGCCTGGGTGCATGGGATAATTGAGGGGTGAGAAGAAGGGTTACAGGAAATTTTTATGCACACGTTGGATTGTTCTCTAAATGTTGTTTCTTTTTTAAATGGTTTTCCTTCCAATTGGGAGAAAACATTGTCTTTCCCACTGCTTGATTTCCAGGAGAGAGGATGGTTTGGAGACGATGGTAGAATCCTGGCACTGCCCAATCCCATCAAGCCGTTTCCCTCAAGACCACCAATATTAAAACAGGAGCAGGCTGTTCACGTGGAATTGGAAATGTTGTATAAAAAGGTAAGCCCCACCCCCTTTCAAACGCATGAATTTTTGCTTGATTTTTTTTTCTTTTTAAATTATTTGAGATCCTGAATTCATAGCATTCTACCTTGATTTATTGTTGTTTTTTCCTACACATAAAGATCAAACAACAGGTGTACTTGTTTGAGTAAATTTATCTCTACTCTTCGAATCCCTTCTTACATGAGAAGATAAGGTTTCCTAGCCAGGCGTGGCTAAATCAGTGTCTTTATTTGCATATCCAGATTAAACTAAACCAAACCAGTTTCTCTTAAATCCATCCCAACTCAAGGGGACACCATGTGTGTCCAAGTAGAATTGTGCTCCATGGGGATTTCAGTGGCTGATATTTAGGAACCAGACCACCAGACCTTTATTCCAAGGTGCCTCTTGTTGTTGTTAAGTGCTGTCGAGCCTGTTCTGACTCATAGCCACCTTGTCGAAGGTTTCTGAGGAACAGCTGGTGAGCTTGAACAACGGACCTTGCAGTTCAAACCAATCTTGTAGTCCAGCACATTATCCCATAATGCACAGCAGGACTCAAGTTGCCTCTATGAGGATGGGCTCAAACGTCCAACCTTTCAGTTAACAGCCAAGCACTTAACTGTTAGTGCCACCCAGGATCATATCCAGATCAGCTGTCTTCTTTCTCTTCTATTGCCCTCTCCTCCATAGCTGTCTGCTCACATGTGCTGCAGCCATATTTCCCACTTGCTGCCTATTGGTTAATGATGTTGTTCTTGTTGTTGTTGTTTGGTGCCATCAAGTCGGTACCGACTCATAGCGACCTTATGCACAGCAGAACGAAACACTGCCCGATCCTGGGCCAGCTTCATTACTGTTGCCACGCTTGAGTCCATCGATGCTGCCACTTGGCCAATCCATCTCGTTGGGGCTCTTCCTCTTTTTCTCTGACCCTCCACCTT